TGGGTCCAGTTGTGGGGCCTGAACTCTGGGCCTGGGCACTATCCCTCAGCTCTTCAGCTCAAGGCTAGCGCTCTACCACTTGAGTCACAGCGCCACTTCCGGCTTTTTTTCTTTTTGCTTATATGGTGCTGAGGAATCGAACCCAGGGCCTCAGGCATGCAAGGCAAGCGCTCTACCACTGAGCCACCTTCCCAGCCCTAGTATGGATATACTTACCTGTTCAGTTCCCTACTGTTTACTCCTTGCTGGATAGATCAGTGCTCCTGAAGATTTGTTGTCCATAAGTGGATGGCTGGCTCTTAGATTGGGCTGTGCCTTACTAGGAAGAACTACAAATAGAAGTTTTATCCAGAGTATGTGGGGAAATATGAGCTGTTTATTCTATGGTCATACAAAATTTACTATTTGGGAATTTGTTTTACTTAATTTATTTTTATTTTTAATTTTGCCAGTCATTGGGCCTGAACTCAGGGCCTGGGTACTGTCAGTCCCTGAGCTTCTTTTGCTCAAGACTAGCACTCTAGCACTTGAGCCACAGCACAACTTTAGGCTTTTTCTGTTTATGTGGTATTGAGGAATTGAACACAGGGCTTCATGCATGCTAGGCAAGCACTCTACCACTAAACCACACTCTCAGCCCCTTAATTTTGTTTATTTGGCGTGAAGTTTGAACTCAGAGCTTCATGCTTGATAAGTAAATGCTCTATTACTTGAGCCATACCTCCAACCTTGGAATTTTGTTTCAGAGACAAGAGAACAACACATTTTTTCCAACCATATTATGGCCCCAATGGTTCCACTCTTAAACCATGATGGCTTTCACTGTTGGCTTTGCCCTTGCCTTGTGTTTGCCACCATTGGCAAGGGACACAGCAAGGGACCTGTGAGCAGAGTGTAAAGAGCAGTCACATTCACACAAGAGGCAGCTGTCTTTCCTACAGCTCAAGAGCCATAAGAGAATTTATGTTATGCGAATTAAAGATGCACAGGAAGTACATTCTGGTCTTGTGGACTGAATTTGTGTGAATCTGTATGTCCTCAAATTCATTTGTTAAAATCCTACCCCCCAGTGAAATGGTATTGGGATGTAAGACTCCAAAAGGTGACTAAATGTAGATGAGTCATAGGGTGGAACCCAATAATGGATCTAGTATCCTTGTAAGAAAAAAGAGAGGGTCATCATGGTGACTCATGCCAGTAATCCCAGATATGAGGGAGGTGTAGGTAGGAGTATGATGGTCCACACCTGGCCCCACAAAAAGGTGCAAGACTCTACCTGAAAATAACAAGCAAGAAAGCCAAGCGCTGGTTGCTCATGACTGTAATACTAGCTACTGAGGAGGCTGAGATCTGAGGATCATGGTTCAAAGCCAGCTGGGGCAGGAAAGTCCATGAGACTCTTATCTCCAATAAACCACTCAGAAAACCAGAGGTGGCGCTGTGGCTCAAGTGGTAGAGTGCCAGCCTTGAGCTGAAGAACTGAGGGACAGCTCCCAGGCCCAGAGTTCAAGCCCCATGACTGACAACAACAACAACAACAACAAGGTCTGGAAGTGTGGCCCAAGAGGTAGGGTGCCTGCGAAGTGTGAAGCCCTTAGTTCAATGTGCAATTTCATGGTAGAAAAGGGAGAGGAAGAAGATGGGGAGGGAGAGAGAGAACGAGAGCACAAGAGAGAGAAAGAAAGAGAGACAGTGAGAGAAAGAGAGAGAAGACTCAGCAGGACACAGTAGGAAGGCAAGCTGAGAATAAGACCCTCACTAGCAATCAGCCAACACCTTGAACTTGGGCCTTTAGCCTCAGAACTGAGGGGAATGAATGTCTATTGTTGCAACTAAGCAAGCAAGAGGCCTTGGAGTTAAACCCTGGTATCAAACAAATAGGAAAACAGTACAGGGTTAGTGTACCTGCTTGAATATGTCCTAAAGAAGGAGGCTCCTTTTGTTTTCTATTATTTCTTAGCACATTTCTCATGGTCTCTAGATGATTGCTGCATCTCTAGATGCTGCATTTCAAGATCCAAATCTGAAGAAGGGAAAGGTTAAGAACACAAACTTTTCCAAGGACTTCCATTTTGTTCTAAGACTCTCCTGGGACTTTGTTTTATGCCTTATTGGCAAGACTTTGTCTCCCTGTCATTTCTGCAAGGGAGCTTGAAAATAGTGGGCTTGGGTTTTTAGCTTCTGTAGTGCAGAAAGAGAAG